GGCCCTTGCGTCGGGGGCCCCCCGACGATCAAGTGTTTCCCGAGGAAGTTCTCGGTGTCCAACGGCGCGGCGACGTGGTAAAAAGCGCGCCCCCGGGGGGGGGGGGGGGCGAAAGCGCGTCTCTCGATCGACGACCCGACGTCGTCTTCGGTCACGAACCGAGTCGCTTCGCGCCCGCCGCGCGACGCCGCACCCTTCTGAACCCTACAACACCCGACTACACACTACTACTGTAAACTCTCTCGTGAGGTTAACCCTAACTAAAGAGAACGCGGACGACCCCTCACGCCGCGCCCTCGGAGACGCACGGAAGCCAGTACACGCGTTCCCCCGCGATCGCGTCGCCGTCGTCCACCATGCACGCGCCGCAGCGAATCAACTCCCTCAACGCCGCGTCCGCGCGCGCGCCCTCCCACCCCGTGACGCGCATCAGCGACGTGCGCGTGACCGCGCCTCGCGTCGAAGTCCCCGCGTCGGCACGCCCCGAGTGGGAACCCCCCGAGTGGGCACCCCCCGAGTGGTGGGCGCCCCCCGAGCAGGCGCCCCCCGCGACGCGAATCACCTCGCCCTGGTCGGCGTTGAGCTCCGTCGGGACTGACGAGGATCGTTTCGGAGCGCGGTGATTCGCGTCAGTCGGAGCTGTGAGGCGTCGAGGTCGGGGAGAGAATCGCAGAAGTTCGCGCGGGAAAGGAAAAGTCCGTCCTCGAGGAACGGCGCGCACCGCGCGAACGGGGACGTCGTACAGTACTGTATGGGACCGGCGCGACGACAGAATGAATGAATGAATGAATGAACGAACGAACGAACCTGACCGCACGACGACGCGTCCTCCGACGTTCAACGCGCTCCACCCCCCGCCCAACACGCGCAGCTTCTCGATCGCCCTCAGGACGTCGTCCTCGCTGACTTTCGCCGCGGCGGCGCCGCGGCGCTTGATGACCGCGCGCATGAGGTTCTCGAGGTCGATCAGCCCGCCGTTCGCGGCGCGCGTGGCGAGGCACGCCTCGACGATGGAGACGCCGAGCTATACGAGCGAATGTCGGGGTGGAATTGAATGGCGTCAGTTGGCGTTAAAAAGCGTCGAGGACGGGGATTGAAAGCGGGGGGTGGGTTGAGAGAGACGACAGCGAAAGTCCTTAAGAAACGGCGTTCACCACGCGAACGCGGTCGTATGGGAACCAGTGTAAGGAGAACACACCTCGTAGTAAAAGTCGCCGATGCCGAGCACCTCGGCCCAGAACCCCTTGTTCGACGCGAGCGGGTCCACTCCGACGTTGGCGCACATCTTGTGAAACGACGCGCGGAACGCCGGGTCTCGCTTGATCGCGGCCTTGTGCTTCAGCGCGAACTTCTCGAGCGACGCCTTGAACTCCGCGAGCTGCGCGCGCATCGCTTGGAGGCGCTCGGCGTTCGCGTGCGCGCCGAGACGCTGCATCGTCGCCGCGGTCTGCGTCCTCTGCTGGATCCCCGCGATCCCGGGGCGGCGGCGCATGGCGCGCTGGAGGAGGGAGGGGCGCCGGCGGCGGTGTGCGCCCGCCGCGGCGTGCGTCGAGCGGGCGCGCGGGCGTGAAAGTGATGACGACCAGACGACGTCTGCGTGGGTTTCTGTTGTCGACGAACTGAGGGCCATTCCATACAAAAAAAGTTCACCGGTCAGTTGAAAGGGGACGCGATCAAGTGTTGAAACCGAGCGATGGGTGAAAAACTTTTGTATAGCAGCTGCTGAACGAAGCGAAAAGTCTCTCATCAAATTCAAATTTCTCGGGACAGACGACGCGGGCGCCCCCCCTCGGGCCTCGTCGACATGACGACCGCGGGCCCGAAGGTCGTCGTCGGCGCCGAGCGCGACGACTCGCGCGTCACCGGCGTCGCGCTCCCGCCCGGGTCGTCCGCGAGCTCGGACAAGGGCGCGGTGACGATGTCTCTCTCCGGTCTTCGGTGGAACCTCAGAGGCGCGCCCGCGTGGGTGCGCGCGTCGACGCGCTGGTGGGGCGACGAGGGCGACGCGCCAGCTGGCGCGCCGAAGCGCCGCCGCGCGTGGGCGCGCCTCGCGACGGAAACGTCCGCGGAGCTGACGTTTCCGGTTCGATGCAAGCCCGCGGGGTTCGCGCGGTACTGCCGCGACGCGCGCGCGGTCGTGATCGAGATCTCGGACGGCCGCACCGCGCGCGTCATCGCTGAGTGCTCCGTCGACGTCTCCTCCCTCGACGTCCATCACGCCGTGAACACGACCGTGCCGCTGTGCACGCGCGCGGGTAGCGCGCTCGGCGCGCTCGACGTCCGCGTCGCGATCGATTACGTCCCGGGGGCGGTGTCGTCGTTCGAGATGAACGAGCACATGTCGAGGGTGGACGACAAGCTGCCGTTGGCGCCGCCGCCGTCGACGAAGCCTCTCGCGGCGAGACGACGCGCGGAAGCCGAGGCCGAGGCTGCGCATCATCGGAGCATCCACGACGTCATTCGCCCGCCGACGCGCGTCGCGGTCGCGTCGGTGGTCCACGAGAACAAGCTCGCGCACTTGCGGTCGCTGCGGAGAAAGGGCGGCGGCGGCGCGGGGCACCCGCTGCCCGCGGAGGCGCCGATCGAAATACCCGTGGCTCCTCGTACGCCCGTCTCGAAGAGTACGAAGAATACGAACGACGAAACAAACGCCACCCCCTCGAGCGTTTTAGAGCTCGCGGAACGACTCGCGGCGCAGATGGACGACGCGCTCGCGTTCGACGCGCGCGCGTTGGAGACGTCGCTGGACATGAGCGATCGACGGTTCGATCGACGGTTCGTCGCGCCCGCGTCGCCGACGCGCGCGCGATGGTGGGGCGACGTGGGCGACAGCGTCCGCGCGTCGACGCGAAGCGACGCGAGCGGCGCGAGCGGCGTTTCGAAGGTCGACAACTACGATTTCGATCGCGACGACGACGACGCCGCGCTGTGCGCGGACGAGGCGATACTTCGCGAGCTCTTCTTCGTCGACGACGACGGCGAGGGCACCGGCCGCGCGAGCGCGGACGGCGCGTTGCTCACGGGTCCGACCGCGGTCAAAGCGCGCGAGGAGGAGGCCATCCGAGCGGTCGCGTCGCTCGCGGACGAGGCGGAGGCGGAGCTCGCGCGCGACGTCGCGATCACGCGCGCGGCGCGCGCGCGCGATGGACTGGACGAGACGCCGTGGGACGCGTTTGAAGACGTCGAGCCGCCCGTCGTCGGCCCCGTCGTCGAGCTGCGCCTCACCGCGCACTCGGGGCTCGTCCGCGCGTTAGACGTCGTGTCGGACGACGACGACGAGGACCGAGAAGGCGAACCGGCGGAAGGCGAAAAGGCGCCGTCAATATCGGCGTGGACCGGGTCCATGAACGCGGCGAAGCGCGCGGCGAGGCGCGCGGGCGTCCCCGAGTCGCTCGTCGTCGTGATCAAAGCCGGGTACGCGCCGGGCGAGCTCGGGCGCGTCGTCCTGGAGGGACTCGGCCCGAAAGGCGCGGGCGTCGCGCGCGTGAGGCTCACGGAGGCTGCCGCCGCGGAGCTGATGAGCGGCGAGAAGAATCTCGCGCTCGCGTTGGAGCTGTGGACGCCGGACCGCGCGGCGAACGCGGGCGCGCCGGCGTCGGACGGCGCCCAGAGGTCGCGCGGTATCGACACAGCTGGCGCGTCCGACAGCGCGGAGCTCGGCGCGCGGTTGTTCGGGCAGATGTTCGGCGACTTCGAGCGCGCGGACCCGGACGACATGCACGGCATCGCGGCGGTGCCGCTCGCGGAGCTCGCGAGGGATCTCGGGCGGGATCTCGGAGGGAGGAACGCGGCAGACGACGACGAGTTCCCGTTGAACCGCGTGTTCGAGGTGAGGAATCCGATATCGGGCGACCTGGGCGGGTACATCGGCGTGGAAGCGCGCGTCTTGTCCACGTGAGCACACAGCCGCGTCCCTTCTTCTTCTTCTTCTTCTTCTTCTCTAGATGTATTTTCGTTAGTATTACACGAGGAGGTATTTACGCGTGCGACTCGAAGGTTCGCGCCGCCGCGGCGCCGACCGAATCTTCTTCTAGATGAGCCCCGGCTTGATCGCCACCGAGGTGTGGGGCGGAAACCACGTGGACTTGTACACGTTCTCCCCCGCCTTCCACCCCGCGACGCCCTTCATGATCTCCGCCTCCTGCGCCGTCCTCTCTTTAAACGCCGTCACGTACCGTCGATCTTCCTCCGCTTGAAGGAACGGGATGAGCACCGCGCGCGCCGTCATCTTTTCCTCCGCGAGCCCTCGCCGCCGTTTGTTCCCTTGGCCGATCTGATAGAACCCGTACACCATCGCGCCGAGGTAGGCGCCGAACATCGCCGCGCCGGTCGGGCCGGTGGACGGGATGCGGCGCGCGTATCGCACGGAGGGGTATCCGCCGGGCGGGGGACCGTCCTGGAGTTGGGAGGAGAAGAGCGCGACGATGATGAGTCGACGAGATCGGAACGAATCGAACGAGCGAGCGAACGAACGAACGAACGAATTCTTAGGGTTCCTTCCGTCGCCGTCGCGGACGACGCGGCGTCGACGCGTCGTCGACGCCGCGTCGTCGCCGCGCTCGCGCGAGAAAGTTTCGCGAACGCGCGCGCGAGCGACATACCTGCATCACGGGCATGTCCATGACGGACTTCATCCCTTTGACGCCTCTCACGACCGCTTCGGTCATGACGCGAGACGACTGAAATCTACCGCTTCTTCCTCAAACGCGAAGAACCCCGCGCGTCGATCGCGCGCGCCGTGCACGCGGCGCCGCCGTCGCCGTCGCGCGACGCGAGAGCTGTGTCGAACGCGCGCGCGTTCGACGACGAACTCGCGGAGGTTTCTGCCGCCGCGGGAAGGTCGCGCCGACGACGCGCGAGCGTGCGTAGGCGTCGGCGGAGTGACCTCGCGCGCGTCTCTTCGCTCGCGCTGTGATGAGTACAACTACGTACTTCGTTCGAGTGCGGCAACGATCACGCGAGCGCGACGACGAGTCGTTCCTCTCGTTGGCGTTCGGTCCGCGCGCGCGCCCGCCGACGGCGACGACGCCACTCTGTACCGCACGGGAGATCTCACCGCCGCGCGCAATGTGCGTCCCCACCCGCTCGCGACCTTTCCGCTCTCCGACGCGCGCGACGTCGTCCGCGCGGCGGCGTCCGCGCGCGCGTCGCCGCGCGCGTCGCGATGGGTTTTCTTCTCTCGATCGGCGAGCGCGATCTCCTCCTCGCGGATGATTCGATCGTCGCGGGTCGAAGAGTCGCGCGGATCGCGCCCGCGTCCGCGCGATGCTTCGACCGCGCGGCGGCATCCTCCCGCGCGTCCGACGATCGACCGCGCCGTCCCTCCGCGCCGCGGTCGATCCGCGCGCGCGATCGCTCGCTCGACGATCCCTCCCCCTCCTTCCGCCCCGACGCGACGCTCGACGCTCTCCTCCGAGCCGCGAATAAACGATGACGCGCGCGATCGCCCCCCTCCCCTTGGACGCCTCTCCGACGCTCCATCCCTCCGCAGGTCCGACGACGAAGATCCGGTCGACATCAGGCCCGAGCTCGAGGAAGCGTGCAAGCCGAAGTGCGCCAAGTTCGTCGCCGCGTACGACGCGTGCGTCGAGCGCGTCGCGAAGGACACGACCGGAGAGGCGCACTGCACCGGGCAGTACTTCGACCTGTGGGGATGCGTCGACAAGTGCGTCGCGCCGACGCTGTTTAAGCACACGAAGTGAGGAGGCGGCGGGCGCGACGCGACGACGGGGCGGGCGCGACGTGATGACGTGCGCGACCGACGATTCGGTGACGCGGCGGGCTCGCGTTGAGCGTGAACGAGGCGTTCGGTGACGCGGCGCGGCGGGCGCGCGCGACGTCTCGGGTCGCGCCCCGAGCAAGATGTTGTGATGATCGTAGTACGAGCACGGTTCATTAAACGCCCGTCCTGTCCCTCTGGCGGTCGCGTCAGCGAACGCTCTCTCGTCGCCCGACTCGCGCGCTCCGCTCCTTCCTCTCTCGACGCCCCGCGACCGGCGGTCGCGGCACCTCGGGCGCGATCATCGCCGTCGCCGCGCCAGCCGCGTCGGCGTACTTCCCAGATCTGGAAGTCATCAGACGCCTCCGAGCCCCCCCCGCGCCGCCTCCTCCGTCTCTGCCGCCCGCCCCCCCGCCGCCCGCCGGCTCCACGGGCGCGAACACGTCGATCAGCGGCGCGTACAGCGGCCGCGTGAGCATCATCAGCAGCAGCACGATCGGCAGCGTCGCGAGGAGGACGCGCGCCCTCCGCGTCCCTCGCGCGTGCTCCGGCGCAATCGCGCGCAGATCCGCGCGCATCTTTTCGGCGCCGCTCTTGGCCTCCGCGGTGACGTCCGGCTCCTTCGGCTCCCGCGGTTTCGGCTTCGCTATTCCGCCCAGCTCGACGTCGTCCTCTCTGCGTCCGCGCGGATCCACGCACGCGAGGACGCCGCGTGCGAGTCGTTTCATGCTGTGACCGCGGAGGGGCGCGACGTCTGAGAGAAATATTTTATTTTTTCATCTGCCCGTGCCCGCCCGAGAAAAGTTCGTAAACGGCGACGTCGTCGTCGCGCCCCGTCATACCCATGCTGCCGCTGCGCGTGTACGGCGTCGCCTTCGCGTCGATGCTCGCGGGCGCCAGCGCGGTGCATCACGTCTACCAGCCCGACCTCACGATCCCGGAGTACGCGCCGGAGGAAGCGACGACCGTCGTCGAGACGCCGACGAAGCCGCGCTTTCGCTGGCCGCGGTGGTAGCGTCGGATTCGAACGACGAACGACGACGACGACGACGTCGACGACGACGACGACGACCGTCATGCCCTCGCCCTCGCCCTCGCCGCCGCCGCCCATCCCGACGAGTGCGACGTGGTTCACCCCCGAGCGCCTCCTCGCGCTGTTCTGCGCGATGAGCATGCTCATCTACCTCGACCGCGGCGTCATCTCCTCCGCGGCGGTCAGCGGCGCACCCGGCACGCGCTCCGCCCCGCTCGGGTCCGGCCTGCAGGGCGAATTCGATATCGGCTACGCGGAGTACGGGCTCCTGCAGGCGGCGTTCATGACCGGCCTGCTGATCGGATGCCCGATCTTCTCGTCGCTCTCGAAACGCCGGAACCCGTTCAAGCTCATCGGCGGCGGTCTCGCGTGCTGGACCGTCGCGACGTTTCTCTGCGGCGTCGCGCCGAATTACGCGTCGCTCTTCGTCGCGCGCGCCGTCGTCGGCGTCGGCGAGGCGTCCTTCTGCGCGCTCGCGGCGCCATTCATCGACGACTACGCCCCTCCATCGCGCAAGACGACGTGGCTCGCGACGTTTTATCTCTGCATTCCGTTGGGGATCGCGTTCGGGTTCATGTACGGCGGCGTCGTCGGGAGCGCGCTCGGGTGGCGATGGGCGTTCATCCTCGAGTCGGTCGCGATGGCGCCCGTGGTGGCGTTTTGCGCCGACGCCGCGCCGGTGCCGATGCGCGGAGTGAACGGCGGGTGTCGCACACACAGCGGCGATGGAGGCAGCGACGGCGAAGAGGAGGAGCTCGGCGCGGACGGGTCCCGGGGCGGGCGCGAGGGCGCGGAGGATCGCGTCTCGCTGTTGGCGGCGGCGGAGGTGAGACTGCTTCCCATACGACCCCGTTCGCGTGGTGCACGCCGTTCCTTAAGGACTTTTCCCGTCGTCACTCTTCACCCGCGCTTCCCTTTCAACGTTTGACCGGTAAGACGTTCGACTGACCGATCGCTTCACCCACGCAGGCGGCGGCGGCGGCGGCGGAGGCGGCGACGCTCGAGGGGGGCGCGCGCGGGGACGCGGACGACGGCGACGTCGATCTCGCCGTCGATATCGACGACGCCGACGCCGGAACGGGCGCGAATGAGATGACCGCGTCCGCGACGCTGCGCCGCCGCGCCGCGCGCGACGCGACGCGCGCGGCGGCGGCGACGAAGACGATGCGTTTGGATTTCCTCCGCGACGCGTCTCAACTCGCGAAGATACCAGTATACGTCCTGACCGTCGCCGCGTACGTCGCGTACACCGCCGTCGTCGGCGTGTACGCGGTGTGGGGCCCGAAGGCTGGGTACGCCATCTACGGCTCCGCGCTGAAGACGCGGGGCGACGCGGACTTCGCGCTCGGGGGCATCACCGTCGTCGCGGGCGTAGTCGGGACGCTGCTCGGCGGGCGCGCCGTGGACGCGTTCGGCGCGTCCCGGCGCGCGGCGATCACCGTCTGCGCGGTCAGGCGCGTTCTATCTCATCACACTGGTCCCCATACGACCGCGTTGGCGTGGTGAACGCCGTTTCTTGAGGACTTTCTCTCCCGGCGTGTATTTCTCTCCGCCCAGGGTCCCTCGCGTTCGATCCCGACGCGCCTCGACGCCTTTCAACTCATCCGCTTCTGACGCCTTTGAACTCCGCCCCGATGTCATCGCTTCGTATGATGGACCCTCGGCCCTCAGCTCCGTCGCCGCGTTCGCGCTTCTCGAGGCGTCTTTTCAGGCGCCGACGTTTGCCATCTTCGCGTGCGTCTTCTTGATCGGCGAGACGCTCGCGTTCGTCGTGCAGGCGCCCGTGAACGCGGTGATCCTGTGGTCAGGCGCGTTCTATACACTGGTCCCCATACGACCGCGTCGGCGTGGTGAACGCCGATCCTTAAGGACTCTTGCCGTCGTCTCTCTCCGCCCAGGGTCCCTTGCTTTCAATACCCGCCCTCGACGCCTTTCAACTCCGCTTCTGACGCCTATGAACTCCACCCCGATATCATCGCTTTGTATGGAACGGCCCTCAGTGCCGCCGGGGACGCGGCCGCTCGCGTGCTCGATGACCACCGTGCTCGTGCACGCTTTCGGGGACGTGCCGACGCCGCCGCTGTTCGGCGCGGCGCTGAGCGCGACGGGGAGGCGACGCGCGGACGGCGCGCCGACGCCGGACGACTGGCGTCGCGTGTTGAGCGCGTTCACGACGTTGATGGCGGTGGCCGCCGTCGTCTTCGCGGCGGCGGCGCCGGCGGCGCGACGGAGCGTCGACTACCGCGCGGCGATTCCGGCGACGGAGGGAGGCGCGCGGTCGCCATCGCGGGGGGGGGGGCGACGCGGGAGCGGGGACGAGGGCGTCGAGGAGACGCTGCTCGCGCCGTTGCACGACGATTGATCGAGGAGGTGGAGGCGGAGAGCGCGCGCCGCGCGTACGACGTACGAAGGTACGAAAGTACCTAGGAAGCAACTTAGCCATCGGAATAACTGAACGAGACTACAGAGAAAGTCTAGAAGAATCCTTCGCGTCTTCACTCGTCCCCGCGCGAACGCGGACGCGTCCTCCGCGGGCGCGAGACCGCGACTTCCTTCTTCCGTTCCCCCCCTCCCCCAAAAATCCCCCCAGACGCGCGCGCGCGCGCCCTCCGCCCGCCGCGATGCCCGTGCCGTTCGTCACCGTGGACGTCTTCACGACGCGGAAGTTCCGCGGCAATCCTGCCGCGGTCGTCCTCCTGTCGTCGTCCGCGCCGCAACCCCCGGAGGCGAGACCGGACGATCCCCCCGGAACGTTCCACTGGCCGCCGGCGTCGTACCTCGCGAACGTCGCGCGCGAGTTCGCGCTCTCGGAGACGGCGTTCGTGCTCCCGACGCGCGTTCCCGTCGACGACGAGGACAAGCCGCGGGACGACAAGAGCGGCGAGCCGGAGGCGTTCAGCATCCGATGGTTCACGAGAGACGGCAGCGAGGTCGACCTGTGCGGGCACGGCACGCTCGCCGCCGCGCACGCGCTGTGGGACACGCACCTCGTGTCGCGGACGCGCGTCGTCGTGTTCCGCACGCAGCGCGCGGGGGATCTGCGCGTCGTCCCGGTCGGGGGATGGCAAGGCCTGGGCGAGGGGCTCGCGGAGATCTCGCTGCCGCTGTCGGCGCCGACGCTCGAGCGCCTCGGCGCGGACGCGGAGAAGTGCGACGCCGCCGCGGTGACATCCGCGCTCGGGCTCCCCCTTCTTGACGGGACAACGCGCGTGAAGGTGATCGGGCGGAACGAGATCGGGGACACGTTCGCGCTGCTCGAGGACCAGAAGACGCTGCGCGCGGCGACGCCGCGATCCGACGCGATCGCCGCGCTCGGCGGCCGCGGGTTGGTGATCACGTGCGCGGCGACGGAGAAGCTCAACGACGAGGTCGACGCGGACTTCGAGTCGCGGTTCTTCGGGCCGAACATCGGGATCGACGAGGACCCGGTCACGGGATCGGCGTTCTGCGGGTTGGCGCCGTATTGGTTCGAGGCGCTGAGAGAGCTCGTGGACGAGAAGACGGCGGCGGCGGAGAGAACGAGGGCGGCGAAAGAGGCGGCGGGCGCGTCCGGGGGCGTCGGCGACGAGGGGAAAGACTTCCCGGACGGGAGCTGCGGCGTGGGGTGCAAGCGCGTGGACCATTCCGCGCCGGTCGAGCGCGCGGTCGAGTTGATCGGGTACCAGGCATCGCGCAGAGGCGGTTTCGCGAAGGTGTCCGTCGACGGCGACAGAGTACGCGTGAAAGGATGCGCGACGACGGTGATGACGGGGCACATCTTCGATTTGAAGTCCATCACCGAGGCGCCGTGAGTGACGTCGTGGGGTGACGTGACGTGGGGAATACAGTGTGATGACGCGTCGTCCGTGGTCGTCTCGTACGCCGCTGGTCGTTTTGTTCTAGCTCGGTGGTACAGTAGAGAGAACGAATAAAGTAGTCTAGTATTATCTCGGGAACGCTCGCGTCACGCCTCGCCGCCGCCGCCGCCGCCGCCCTCCCCCGCGTTCTCCTCCTCCCTCGCGGCGGCCGCGTCCTTCTCCCTCTGCTTCTCCAGAATCTCATCCGCGACTCTCTCCTTCCATCCCTCCTCGCCGCCGTCGTCCATGATGCCGAGGACGCTCCGTCCCATGATCGCGAAGGTGACGACGTCCGCGAAGACTAAGATGGCGCCGAGCTTGCCAAACTTGATCGCGGTGGACGCCGTGAACGCGCCCTCCCCCGCGGGCGCGGCAGCCTCCGCGTCGTCGCCCGCGCGCTCTTCTTCTCTCGCGACGCCGGGCGCGGGCGCCGCCTTGAGGAGGGCGCCGCCTTCGCCGCCGCCGCCGCCGCTCTCCGACAGCGCAGCCTTGACCTCGGACGAGAGCGCGCCGACGCCGCCGATCGTCTCCTCGAAGAGCCAGTCGATGGGCTGCTTCCCCGCGGCGAGCGCGGCGGGCGGCGACGCGACGGCGACGGCGAACGCGACGGCGACGGCGAACGCCGTCGTCGTCTTCGTCTTCGTCGTCGTCGCGAGGACGGCGGCGGTCGCGTCGGTCGGGGCCGCCGCGACGTCGCGTCGCGAGGGATCGCGATCGGCGCTGCTGCTGCTGACGCGGCCGCGGCATCTGGACGAAGACGACGACGACGACGCGGGGCGACGCGTCGCGGACGCGGAGACGCGCGCGCGGCGCGACGCGTCGCGGAAGGAAGACGCCGCGCGCCGCGGCCGCGCCGCCGCGGTGGGATGTCCCGCGAGAAGCGTCATCGCGAAGGCGGGCGGCGCGCGGACGCGAGTGACGAGGCGCGGCGCGGGACGAATCGAATATCGAACTTATGCGAGCGGAAGATACGGTTCCCGCGCATTCATCGGACGCGCCGAGGGGGTCGACGGCGGCGGCCGGCGGGGATGGCGGCCGCGAAGCAGAGCCCGCGGCGCGACCCGCGCGCGCCACGCTCGTCGCCGCAGGCGGTCATCACCTTGCTCTCCGACGACGAGAGCGAGAGCGAAGTCTCGACGTCGGACTCGGAAGAAGGCATCGCGCTCCCCGGCGGACGACGGCGGCAGCGGAGTAGGATGCCGCGAACGACGACGACGACGACGACGACGACGGAGGACGGCGGCGCCGGCGCGGGCGCGACGACGAAGCGCAAGCTGACGCCGCGCGGGAAGCTCGCGAAGGGGAAGAAGAGCAAGACGAAGGGCGTCTTCAAGAAGGTCGTCAGCACGGCGTCGCCCGCGGCGAAGCGGACGGGCGCGCCGAGCGCGAATCGTCGCGACGACGACGACGACGACGAGAACGACGTTTTCGCGTCGGACGACGACGACGACGACGCCGACGACGCGCCCGCGGTCCTGCAGCACGTCGTGCGCTACTCCTCGATCGACCAGCCCGAGAACCGAACGAAAGTCAGTCGACTCCACCTGGAGTGGGCGGAAGGGGACGTCGAGCATCTCGAGGTGGGCGACTTCGTGGAGGTGCCAAATCTCAACGAGGACGAGTACGACGCCGACAGGAGGGGCGCGTCCTCGTCCGGCGGCGCGATTCCAACGAAGGTCTCCGTCGCGCTCGTGCGCGATATCATCGAGACGAAGAAACGCGGCGTGGAGATCAAGGTGTCGTGGCTGTACGATAAGCAGGACGTCGACGATTGCGTCGGGAGAGGGCGCTGGGTCCCGACGCGCGCCGTCAAGTGCGTCCCATTATTTTCGAACGAATCCCCGTACGATGCGACCGCGTTCGCGCGGCGCACGCCGTTTCTTGAGGACAGACTTTTCCCCACGGTCACGGGTTCGATCCCGACGCGCCGCGACGCCTCTCATCGACTCCGTCTGACGCGCCTCCGTGCGCCACTCCGCCCCGACGTCACTTCGCGCACTGGCGCGACGACCCCTCAGGCGAAACGAGCGGTTTTACCACCACAAAACCGTGGACGCCATCTCCCCGGAGACGATCACCGCGAAAGCCGCGGTGTACTTCGTCGCCGACCGCGCGAACGCGCTCAAGTACGGCTCCTCGAGCGGCGCGAAGAAGTGGTACTTCGTGCACGAGGTCGTGGAGTTCACCAAGACGCCGAGCGGACACAACGCGGTGAAGTTTCATCCGATCACCGACACGGATTTCGAGCCGGAGTTGAGGCGGCTGCTGCGAAAGCTGTGCCCGGCGGCGGCGCCGACGGCCGCGGCGGCGCTCGCGGCGTCGCCGCCGTCCGCGCCGTCGACGAACGCGTACGAGCGAGAGCGCGAGGAGAACATCCGACGAAACCGGGAAGCGCTCGAGGCGCTGCGCGCGAAGAAGCGCGCGTCGTCGCCGTCTCCCCCTTTGCGGACGAACAGCTCGACGGTCGAGGACGACGACGGCGGCGGCGGCGGATTGGCTGACGTGGCGGCTGACGTGGCGTCCAACCCGAAGCCGTCGACGTCGTCCGACGCGGCGAGAAAAGCCGCGGACGGGTTCATCGCCGACGAGTGCCCGGTCGACGAGTTCGTCGCCCCCGAGTGGGACGCGTGGGTCCGCTCCACCGCGGCGGCGGAGGTGAGACTGCTTCCCATACGACCCCGTTCGCGTGGTGCACGCCGTTCCTTAAGGACTTTTCCCGTCGTCACTCTTCACCCGCGCTTCCCTTTCAACGTTTGACCGGTAAGACGTTCGACTGACCGATCGCTTCACCCACGCAGGCGGCGAGCAAGAAGAAAGCCGCGGAGGAAGCCGCGGCGGCGGCGGACGACGCGGCATCCGACGACCCTCTCCTCGCGACGACGACGACGACGTTCGCGCCATACGGCGACGTCGCGGAAGGAAGCACGCGGCCGGTCGCGCTCGGGAAGCTCCAGGACGCGCTCGCGCGCGCGGTCGGCGTGGACCTCGCCGCGGCCAGAGACGTCGTCCGCCGCGCCGCGCGCGTCGAGGCGGCGCTCTTCCATCAGGCGCGTTCACGTTTACACTGGTCCCCATACGACCGCGTTCGGGTTGTGAACGCCGATCCTTGAGGACTTTATCTCCCGGCGTTTGTTTCTCTCCGCGCACCCCTCGCGTTCAATCCCGACACGCCTCGACGCCTTTCAACTCCGCTTCTGACGCCTTTCAACTCCACCCCGATATCAACGCTTCGTACGGATCCTCGACCCTCACTCAGTCCCCGGGGCTCACCGGGCACATGGGGTACAACGCGAAAGCGCGCGCGCTGCTCGTCGGTTTGAACTCCAACGCGTCGATCGCGGAGAGAGCCGCGCGCGGGGAGATCGAGCCCGACGCGCTGCTGCAGATGAAACCGGACGCGTGGGTGGAGAACATCGACGACCACTGGCGGAAAAAAACCGAGGAAAAGTTGAAGGCGGAGAAGGCTGCGGAGGCGGAGCGCGAGGCTGCGGTCGGTCGGTGCCAGCTGTACATCCCGGGGAAGGACGGCACGGAGAAGATCGTGGAGGTGAGGCGGTGAGCGGCGACGCGCCGCGGGGGCGAGGGAAGAGGGGGAAGTAGTGGAAGTAGCGAGCGGAAAGAACGAGACGAAAGTTCGACGAACTCATCACACAGCACGGCTCATCTCACGAACAACTGCTCAGGGTCATTCCATAAACATTCGGTTCATCGGTCAGTTGGTTGAAAGGAGACACGATCAAGTGTTGAAACCGAACGATGGGTGAAATACGTTTATAGACGAACGCACCTGAACGGACTTCCAGCGCACGTCGACGTGTCACCGCCCGAACGCGTGCCAGCCACAACCGATCTATCCGTCGCGCGTCCACTCCACGACGCGCGCCGAGCTCATCGACGCGCGCATCGCGATGATGACGACGACGACCGCATCGATGGCGACCGCGACGCGTCCCCGCGTCGCGACGCGCGGCCGCGCGGCCGTCGCGGCGGCGCGGCCCGCGGCGACGGCCGCCCGCGGCGTCGGCGTCGTCGGAAGCGCGGCGTCTTCTTCGTCTTCGACGTCCTCCTCGCGCGTCGCCGTCCGCCGCGCCGCGGCGCCGTCGCTCCTCTCCTCGCGCCGCGCGTCCTCGCGCGGGTCCGCCCTCGTCCCGACCGCGATCGCGTCCCCCCCCGCGTCCTCCCCCGCGACGGAAGACGCCGCGGGCGAGCCGTCGTCGTACGATTGGCACAACCAGTGGTACCCCGTCGCGTTCGTCGCCGACCTCGTCGACGACGCGCCGTTCACGTTCACGCTCCTCGGCGAGCCCCTCGTGTTCTGGAAGGACAAGACGACGACGACGAACAGCGCGAGCGGCGGCGGGACCTATCGATGCACCGCGGACAAGTGCCCGCATCGCCTCGTCCCTCTGTCCGAAGGGAGGGTCAACGACGCGGGCGAGATTGAGGTGCGTTCTATACACTGGTTCCCATACGACCGCGTTGGCGTGGTGAACGCCGATCCTTAAGGACTTTTGCCGGCGCATCTCTCCGCCCGCCCCTCGCTTTCAATCCCCGACCTCGATGCCTTTCAACTCCATCTGACGCCTTTCAACTCCACCCCGCCATCGCTTTGTATGGAACGACCCTGAGTGCGGGTACCACGGCTGGACGTTCGACGGCGCCTCCGGGAAGTGCACGTCCATCCCGCAGCTCCCGGCGACGGGGAACGCGATCGACACCGCGCTCGCGTCACCGCGGTCGTGCGTGACGCCGTACCCGACCGCGGTCGCGCAGGGGATGCTGTTCGTGCTCCCGGTCAGCGCGTTGAAGTCGGACCCGGCGTCGCGGCCGCCGGTGCCCGTGATTCCCGAGATCGACGACCCGGGTGCGTCCCGTACACTGGTCCCCATACGACCGCGTTCGCGTGGTGAACGCCGTTTCTTAAGGACTTTTGCCGTCGTCTCTCTCCGCCCACCCCCCGCTTTCAATCCCGACACACCTCGACGCCTTTCAACTCCGCTTCTGACGCCTTTCAACTCCACCCCGATATCATCGCTTTGTATGGAACGACCCCCAGACTGCGTGGTGCAGGACATCTCGCGCGACCTCCCGATGGATTACGCGACGCTGTTAGAGAACGTGATGGACATCTCGCACGTGCCGTTCACGCACCACGGCAGCGTCGGTCGACGCGAGAACGCGACGCCGGTCGTCGCGGAGCTCACGACGGAGCTCGCGGACGGCGGGTTCGAAGGGATCTGGAAAGAGGGTCCGAGGAACGGCAAGTACGGGTCTCAGTACACGCACTTCCAAGCGCCCGCGCTGATGCGCCACACGCTGCGGACGGACCAGTTCACGACGCTGACGGTCGTGTACGCGGTGCCGACGACCCCGGGAAGGTGCCGTCTCATGGCGCGGTTCCCGTTCATATTCAAAGCCGCGCCGCCGAGGTTTTTCTTCAAGCTCGTCCCGAGGTGGTGGTCGCACCTGAACCAAAACTCCATCCTCGAGGACGATCAGATCTTCCTTCACAAGCAGGAGCGCTTGATCGAGATCGAAAAGAACGTCAGAGGGAAAGCTTACGCGCAGGCGTGCTACATGCCGTCGCAGGCGGACACGTACGTCGGCGCTTTCCGCCGATGGATCGTCGACAACGCGGGCGGGTCGCCGGCGTGGCCGAAAGGGATGAAGGACGCGCTGCCGCCGCAGGTGCGTTCTATACACTGGTCCCCATACGACCGCGTCGGCGTGGTGAACGCCGATCCTTAAGGACTTTTCCCGGCGATACTCTGCGCCCAGCCCTCGGTTTCAATCCCCGCCCTCGGCGCCTTTCAACTCCAACTGACGCCTTTCAACTCCACCCCGACGCCGCAGCTGACGACCAAAGAGCAGATCCTCGACCGCTTCCACTCGCACACCGAGCACTGCAAGTCGTGCGCGGTCGCGCTGTCGAACCTGACGAAGATTCGCAAGGCGCTGCGGGTGGTCGCGTTGGTCGCGCTCGCGGCGGCGGCGGGGACGTTCGCGCGCGCGGCGCCGCCGAAGGTGTGGATCGGATTGTCCGCGATCGCCGCCATCGCGGCGGGGATTCGCGAATGGATGGGAGGGCTCGTGGGGAAGATGAAGGTGGGGCCGTATCCGCCGCCGAGGAGGCCGCCGAGTCTGATGGAGGCCGCGCTCGAGTCCGCGAGGATCGGGTTGATCTAGCGTGTAGGGCTAGTCGTAGATAGAGGTCCGCGGGGTCGGGCTTCGACGCGCCTTTAATAAGAAATTTACAGCTGTGCAGCATCGGCAGTTCGGCACCGGGCCGCCCGCCGCCCGCCCGCTCATTCCGCCCGCCGAGGTCGTAGGTTAACGGTGGTTCGACTCAGCCGTCACGACGCTCCGCGCGCCTCTCGTTCTCTCTCCATGAGCGGCGTCGTGGACGCCTTCGCGGCGTGGCTGACGTCGCACGGCGCGAGCTTCGACGCCGTCGAGCTCCGCGACGCGACCGCGGACGACGCCGCGCGGCGATCGGCGGCGAACGACGCCGACGACGACGACGACGTGTGCCACGACGGATGGCAGCGCGGCCGCGGCGTGTTCGCGCGCGCGGACTTCAAGAAGGGCGACGTCGTCGCGTCCGTGCCGTACGCCGCGTGCATCGGCACCGCGGGCTTGCGGTCCGTCGTCGGGAGCGGGAAGCCGCCGCCGTTCGACGGCGCGACGCCCGCGGAGTGCCTCGCGTGGCAGCTCTTTCAGATCGTCGGCGACGAGCGTTGGGCGCCCTACGTCGACGCGCTCCCCGCGACGATCGACGCGCCGTGCAGCGGGTGCTGGGACCACGGCGAGATCGCGGAGCTGCAGATCGGCGACGCGATCGCGTCCGTCGCGGTCGCGCTCGGGAAGGATCTCAAGTCCGCGCGGCGCGTCGTCGTGATCGTCGAGGGCGACGATTGCGACGACGACGAGAAAAAGAAAAAGACGCACGAGCGTTGGCTCTGGGCGCTGTCGTGCGTGCGATCGCGCGCGATAGGGCTCACCCCGGAGGGCGGCGGCGCGAAACAGGTCATGCTCGTGCCTCTGGTGGACATGCTGAACCACGCGCACGAGGACGCGTCCGTCGCGTGGTCGTCCGCGATAGACGACGACGACGTCGACGCCGACGAATCGAAATCGAAATCGAAAACGAAAACGAAAACGAAGACGAAGACGAAAACGAAGACGGACGCGACCGAACCCCCCCCCGCCGGCGGACGCGTCACGCTCGTCGCGCGGCGCGACATCGCCGCCGGGGAGGAGCTCTTGATCACGTACTCCGAGAAGTCCCCGACGGACCCGTTCACGCTGCGAATGGGCTTCGTCGGCGGCCACAACCCGCACGACTCCGTTCAGATCTTCGTCAATCTCCCGCACGCGGCGGGGTGGTACGCGGACACGTTCAAGAGCGAGGGCGGGGAGGACCTCGTCGACCGCGCGGTCGCGATGCACGTCGCGGAACAGATCGAGGCGTCCATTCGGACGTTCGCGCCGGAGGAGTCCGCGCCGAGGCTGGGGTACGGCGGACAGTGCAGCGAGTACTTGGTCACGATGTTTGAGCGATTTAACAAAGAGGTGGCGCCCGAGGAGGATCCGCACGCGTTGGCCGCGCACGCGGTGCGGCTGCGGTGCGAGGAGCTGCTGCTGTCGTACCCCACGAATCTCGCGGAGGACATGGAGCTGTTGGACGCGCCGGAAGGGTCAAGCTCGCGGCGGTTCAAGCTCGCGGTGGAATTTCGGCTGCGGAAGAAGGCGATCTTGCAGCACATGTTGATGGCGGCGGAGGACGTCGCGGAGGAGGAGGCGGCGCTCGCGGCGGCGGCGAAGGCGGAGAACGGCGCGGGAGGGGGGAAGGGCAGAGGGAGAGAGAAAGAGAAAGAGAAGAAGAAGGGCGAGGGCGAGCGGTGAGAGGAGCCGCGTTTTCGTGCGCGGGCGTTGAAAACGCGTCGCGGGTTCCGTTCGTCTCGTCTCGTCTCGTTTCGTTTCCACGTCTCAATTTAATCGCTCGCTCGCTCTTCTTACTTCGGCCACCTCGCCGGATCGATCGGCGCGAAGCAGTGCCGCGTCGGCGCCGCCATCGCCGCGTCCCTCACCACGCTCGCGCGCTCCTCGTCGCTCAGCAAATGCAGCGGCGGCCCGTCGCTCCCGGGCTCTCTCCGCGTCTCCCTCGCGTGAAGCTCCCCCGCGTCGATCATCGCGTCGACAACTTCCGTCGCGCACCGCGGCGTCAACGCGGGCGTCAGACGCTTCGCGAGGCTGGCGATCGGTATCCCGGGGAACCGGATCACCTCCGCGAGCGCGCGGCGTTTCAGACCGGCGAGGAACGCGTCGTTCGTCGCCCCGCTCGGGGTCACCCACGGGCGGATCTGCGGCGCCTTCGCCTTCGCCTTCGCCTTCGCCGCGCCCGCGCCCGCGGCGTCGGCGTCGGCGTCGGCGTCGGCGTCGGCGTCGGCGTCGGCGTCGGCGCGCGCAAACTTCGCGTGCTCGATCGTCGTGAACCTCGCGCCGTGGAACGCGTTCACCGCGACGCAATCGCACGTCGCGTCGTTCGCGAGCCGCGTCAAAACCTCCTCGCACGCGTCGACCGGGACCACGACGCCGCCGGTTTCGGCGGTCGAGAGGTCGGCGGCCGAGGACGTGAGCGCGGCGGCGAGCACGCGCACGGAGACGCCGCCCGCGCCCGCCGCCGTCACCGCCGCCGTCGCCTCGTCGCGCGTCGGCGCGCGCGTCGCGTACGCGCGCCCTCCGACTTCGATCGGCGGCGCGGACCCGGGCGCGTGCCCGAAGCTCGCGTACGGCGTCCACCCCGACGACGCGGACGCGGACGACGGCTCGCGCGAGGTGACGCCTTTGATCGCGACGCGCAGGTTCACCGCCGCGTTCGGAAGGTCGCCCGGCGCGGTTCGATCGTTCGCCGCCGCGTCGTCGTCTTCGTCGTCGTCGTCGTCGTCGTCGCGTGAGGGAACGCGTCCGAAGTGCTCCGATAACGCCTCGAACGCCGCGGGGGTCACCGCGTCGAGCTCGACGACGCCCGCGACGACGCCCGCGAGGATCGCGAACACGTGCGCGGAGCTCGGCGCGACGACCCTCGCGGCCTCTCCGCGAAGGTCGCCGGCGCCGGCTCCGAACCGCTCCGACAACGCGGCGGCCACCTTCGCCGCGTCCGCGCAGCCGCGCGCGCCGAGGACGGCGTCTTCGTCGTCCGCAGCTCGCGCGAACCGTTCGGACAGCTTCAAGGTCCCGAACGCCGCGTCGGTTGACGTTCCGTCTTCCCCCCCCGCGTCAACCGCCGCGGTCGTCGTCGCGTCCTCTCCGTCTGGCTCCGGCTTGACGCTCGCCAACAGCTTCGCGCGTCGTAACATCGTCACCGCGTGCTCGACCGCGTCTTCGCCGATCGCGGCGATCGTTTTCGCGACGCGCGCTTTCACGTCGCGGTCGAGCGCGACCCCGGGAGGCGCGGACAGAAGCGTGGATTTCACGAGCTCGAGCGCGTTCGCGCAGCGGGTCATAAACTCCGGGTCTCGACGAACCGCCCTCGTCGCCGCCGCCGCGGGGGAGCGCGGCGCGAAGCGCTCGAAGGACGCGCCGCCGCCGACGTCGGAGTCGGAGTTGGAGTCGTCGCCGCCGTCGCCGTCGTCTGACGTGTCATCGTCCGACACGTCCGACGTTTCTGCTGACGTGTCATCGTCCGACGTGGACGCGGCGGCGCCCCGCGCGACGATCGCCGCGAGCGGGACGTCGTCGTCGGACTCGTTGAGCATCCCGCCGCGCTTCTGCTTCTGCTTCTTCGCCCGCGCGACCGCGCGCCTCGCGCCGCCGTCGGAGTCTCCGAGATCGCCGTCGGAGTCGTCGGAACCGATCGCCCTCCTCGCGTCGCGTCGCCGTTTTTTGCCCCCCGCACCCAAACCCGGACCGGGACCCGAACCCGAACCGGCACCGGCACCGGGACCGGGACCGGCACCCGAACCCGAACCGGGACCGGGACCCGAACCCCGGACGTCCGCCGCTTCCCGTGTCGACATCGGGTGCCGCTCGAGCACGCGCGCCACCTCCGCGACCACCTCGGCGTCGATCTGCGCGCACCACTTCCCTTCGCGGTCCCACAAGTTCGAGGCGGCGTTCGAGCACGCGCCCTCCGCGCCGCCGCCGTCGGCGGCTTCGGGGGCGGCCGCGGCGGGACCCGCGGCGGGACCCGCGGCGGGACCCGCGCCCTCGATCTTTTTACGCAACATCGCCTCCGCGGCGCGTTGGTTTCGCGCCGCCGCGCCTCTCGCGGCGACGCGACGCACGACGCTCGCGATCTCCTCCGATCGCTCGCCCGCGTCCATGGCCTTCCACCGGCGCGAGCACGTCTCGCGCGCCGCGGGGAGTCGCTCGCCGACTTCGACCGCGGCGCCGACGAGCCTTCTCGTGCCGCGCTCGCCGTACACGATCCGCGTTCGCACGAGCGCGAGCAGAAGCTCTCGGTCGTCGCGCGCCGTCCACGTGTGCCTCGTCCGGTACGGCGGAAACGCGAAGTTGACGCGACGCTTGCGGCGCCCGACGTCCGCGAGGGCGACGTCGTCGTCGTCGTCGTCTTCTTCTTCTTCCTCCTCCTCTTCTACTTCTTTTACGTCGTCGTCGTCGTCGTCGTCGTCGTCGTCGTCGACCGTGAAGTCCGGGTCGTCTTTATCGCCGTCGTCGTCGACGGCGGCGGCGGCGGCGGCGGCGCCTCCGCGGCGGCGTCTGTACGCCGCCGCCGCGGGATTCTCTTTCGACGCGCGCGCGGCGATGAGCGCTCGTCGATCCGCCGCCCACTTGTGTCTATCCGTGGGGACGCCGTCGACGTCGACGACGTCCGAAGAAGCCGCGGCGTCGGCGCGTTTCACGCGCTTCGACGCGCCGCCGCCGCCGACGGCGCGCAGCCGACCCGTGACGTTCTTCCGGTTCCGGACCACCCCGAGCCCGCGACGCCGGCTGTCGTCGTTGTCGCGCCCTCCTTCTCTCTCCAGCTTGTCCTTCGCGATCCGCTCCGCGCGGCGATTCGCGTTCGCCTCGAGCGCTTCCTTCTCCGAGATCGTCCCGTCCACGGTGAGGTCGTTCAAGATCCGCTTGCAGTCTGCCTCGTGGAACTGTCGAATCTGTTCGACGGACAAGTCGAGCTCGCGCGCGAGTTTCGAGACTTGCGGAAACGTCAAGATCGGTTGCGCCAGCGCCGCGGCTCTGGCCGCCTTACGAAGCTCCACCTCCTCGGCGTCGTCCTCGGTGGGCGTCGCGTCTTTCGCCGCCGCGGTCGCCTCCGCGATCTCGAGCGTCTCTATGTCCTCGGCGACGACGTCTCCCCGCGCCTCCGCGGTGAGCCGTCGAATCTCGCGCGTCTCCATCCTCAAGTCGTCCAACCGTTGCAGCAACACGATTCTCTGCTGAATCGTCATGTCGCGGACGCGGCTCCACGTCTTCGTCGAGCACAACCCGTGCGTGGACGAGCTCAGGATGTTAATCGTCGAGGACGCGGGAAACGCACAAATCATGCACTCGTCCGCGCGCACGAGCGGCTGGTGCTTCCGTTTAAACGTCGCCTCGAGCCTCGACCAAAACGCTTCGCACGCCTCCGGATCGTCCACGTTCATCGAGATCCACGCGCTCCGGTCCGTCGCCGACGGCGACGGCTGAAAGCGTCCGACGCGAGCGAGTTTGTGCGATCGCATGTTCCCGCCGGTCTCGCTCGTGCGCACGACGAGCTCCATCGCGCACAGGAGTCGAATCAGTTTCGACAGTTTGGCCTCCGCGTCTTTAAACACGGAGCGCATGTGCTTGCGATCGCCGTTCGCGTCTCCAATCACCGCCCTCGACGCTTCGTCGTCCAGATCCCCCAACGTCTTCCCCGCGATCGCGAGCGACTGGAGCTTCGCGAGGACGCGCGAGTTTTCATTCTGGAGGTGCCAAGGGCAGCCCGCGATGCGAAGGAACAGCTCGAGCGGCATGTGTTTCATGACGACCTCGCCCGCGTTGAACCCCGCCGACTGCGTCGTCGACGACGACGCGTCCTCCTCCTCCGCGCACTCGAGGTTGACTTTCCGCGTGAATATCGTCTTCACGAGAAAGCCGTGCATGTACCGCGCGCGCGTCATGATCGCGGGGATGAACCCGCTCTGAAGCACGGCGATGTCCCTGAACGTTTTGAACGGTTTTTTCGCAACGCGGCGCGACGCGTTCGCGCCCCCGGCGTTTCCTCCGTCCTCCCCCTCCGCGCTTCCGAACCCTCGCGGCCTCAACACGTTCTCCAGGTCCGCGGTCCTCATCCTCGGAACGAGCCCGGCGGTCTTCACGCGCACGGTGATCGCCGGTGTCGTCGCGGCGGCGGCGGCGGCATCGGCGGCGGCGTCCGTCGCGAGTCCATCCGCCGGGACCACCGCGAGCGCGAGCGCGTCGTTCTCGTTCGTCGGCGCCCCTTCCGCGGCTGGGGTTCCCCCGGGCGGCGTCGTCTTCGTCGCTTTCTCCTCCTCTTCTTTTATCTTCTGGACCAGGATCCCGCCGCCGCGCCGTCTGCCCCCCCCGGGCTTCGCGACGTCTCCCCCCGCCCGCTTCGGCGGCTTCGGCGGCGGCCAGACGTCGTACACGTCCTTCTTCTCCTGCCAGAACGGCAGCCGCATCGCGAGGTCGGTCTGCCGAATCTCCTGCCTCACGTTGTCCAGCATCTCCGGCGTCGGGTCGGGGAAATTCGTGTCGTACACCAACACGTGCGCCTTCTCGCCCGCGTCCAAGTGTCCGTGCGTGCCGACGGTGAAAGCGTGCGTCTTCGCCATCCCCTTCGCGGTCATGTGCTCGAGGACGCGATTCACCACCTTTCCGTCGACGCGGTCGATCTTCCCGCCCTCTTTTTGCGCGAGCCAGCGGCCGATGTACGCCTTGATGAGGTACCCGCGCTCGCCGAGGTGGGCTTTGATCGTGGCCGCGCGCGCGTCCTTGAGCGCCTCCGCGGCGGATTTTTGCTTTTTTTTATTCTCCGCCGCCGCCGCCGCGCCCTGCGCTCTCTTCGCGGCTTTCGCTTTCTCCCCGCCCGCCGCGATCGCGGCGTTTCTCTCGGCGATCTCCGCCGCGAGCTTCTCGTCGTACGCCAGAACGATCAGACGGTATTTCCCCTCCTGCACGGCGCGACGCGTCATCCCGGGGTACTGGCTCGAGTCGACGAGCATGAGTTCGACCCTCTTCGCGATGTTTTTGTTCGTCATCCGAAAACGATTACCCAGCTCCGAGAGTTTGATGCCCGTCTCCCCAGCGCGCTTCAAGAGTTCGAAGATCTGGTCCTCCATGCGCATCTCGAGGAAGAGCTCGCCGCCGCCGAAGCCGATGAGGCTGTCGTCGTCGACGACGTCCCCGGCGCTCGCGTCCTCGCCCGCGACCGCGGCGGCGCCGCCGTCCGCGATTGCGAGCGGCTCCGGAAGCAACCGGAGGCACTCCGCGATCGCACCGGCGCCGCCGTCGCTCCCCTCGATCGCGCACTGCATCCGCTCCACGATGCCTTTGGCGATCATCTCCGCGCGGATTTTGAGGTACAGGCGCCCCGTGCGCCGGCCGGTGAGGCCGCCTTCGCCGACGTCGTCGCCCTTCTCCCACTCCTCCTTTCGCAAGCGTTTGTACACCTCCGCTCTGAACTCCGCTTCCATGAGGACGTTATCCTTCGCCGCGCGCAGCATTTCCACGAACGTTCGCGTCAGCGCCTCGCGCTCTTTCGGCCCGACGTGGGCGATCTCGTCCAGGTCCGGGTCGTTCCCGAAATCGCCCCCCGTCTCGCGAGCGATCCACGACAACACCAACACGGTCGTCTTGTTCACGCACGCCTGAGACTTCTTCACCGTGGTCTTCTTCGTCTCCGTCACCCGCATAATCTCGCGCGACGTCAAGAGCCCGAGGAACTCCAACACCTTCACGAGATGGTGGCACGCCTGCGGTTTCGCCGCGGCCGAGCCCTTCGGGAACAGAGACGGCAGCTCCGACGCGAGCACCCCCGTCGCGCGCGATCTCGCGACGGCTTCTAAGATCTTCCTCTGATCGACGGTGACGCGCATCGACCACGTCGGCTCGTCGTGGAGCCCGAGCGAGAGGTCGCGCACGCGCAGCGGGGCGATCAGGTGGACGTTCTTCTGCGTCGCGGTGACGTGCGTCCTGACGAGGAGGAGGAGGAGGAGGAGGAGGGAGAGAGGGAGGGGATCGTAAGGCCGGGCGTTGTTAGTTGAATTCGCGGTGTGAATTCGCGAGAGACGTGATTCGACCGCGCGCGCGAGGCGACGACGGACGGGAGGCGCGCGACGCGGAGTCGGTCGGACGCGCACTTCAACGCCGCGTCCGTCGGCTTCATCGCGAGCTTCTCGAGCATCTCGCGCTCGGCGACTTCCTCCTCGTCCACGGTCGCCTTCGCGGCCCCTCGCGCGTCGGCCGCGACGGGACCGCGAAGGATGCGAAGCTCCTCGTGCGTCGCGTGGTCGACGATCCGCGTCCACAGCCCGCGCTTGAACGTCTCCGACAGCGAATCCCCGTCGCCCCATTCCTTCGCGAGGAGGTTCCACAGCGTCTTGAGGTCGCATCCTGCGGGGTTGGTTCGGGAAGGGGGGGGTAGGACGACGAGGTCGGCGACGGCGCGACAACGAGCGGAGGGCGACCGACGGCGAGACGACGACCGATGTGCGAACGCGAGGGCGCCGCGCGGAAGGTCGCGGGACGAGTCGAGCGGCGACGCGACGCGCCTGACGGTCCCTCCAAGGACACCTCGTTGAGGACGCACGGGAAACGCGCGCGTCGTCCCATGACGTCGCGACGCGCCGCGGCCCGCGCCCGCGACAGTGGAGGCTGTGGCGCGAGAAGAGGCGAGAGAATTGCGTCTGCTCGGCGTCGAGCTACGACGCGCGCGCGTTCGCGTTTGACATCGCCGATCAAGACGAAAATTCACCCGCGGCGGTGTGAATTTGAAAGGGGCGCGCCGATCAACCGTCGCGCACGTTTTCGCCCGTCGTTTGAACGAGAACAGCGCGACTTTTCCCGTGCCGTGTTCTCTCGGGCGACTACTCTCTCCGCGCGCATCGACGCGCAGGGTCCACTTAGGGACCGTCGTCCTCGTCGAGCGCATCACCGCGCGCGCTCGGAGGAGGGAACCGCGCCGAAAGCGGAGGGTGAACGCGTCCGGCAGCGCTCGCCGAGGGGGTGAATCTAGATTGGTTCGAACGTCATGGCGGGATCGGGACTGGACGTCGACTCCGTCATCGAGCGGCTGCTCAGCGTGAGAGGGCAGCCGAACAACCGCACGGTGCAGTTAGCGGAGGGAGAAATCAGGGCGCTCTGCGCGACCGCGAGGTGCGCGCTCGCTCGGTTCGCATTCGTTTCCGGCGCGCCACGCGTCGTGTCCGAGATTTTTAGGCGCCAAACTAGGGTTCGTGTGCCGCGATGGACCACCTCCGGGGCCGCGCCATCGCGCCGTCGGGGCGCTCCGTCGACGTCCAAGCGCGCGGGGGACGCGTTCTCGACTATATCGTGGATTCGAAACCCGCGTCGTCGGGCGCGTCTCGCGTTCGCGTCGCGCGTCCCGCGTCGCGCCCAAAGGGCGCGGTGTGCTGTCTTTGGCACTCGCCTCGCGCGCTCGCGCGCGACGGGTGGCATTGGTGACACACATCTGGGGCGACGAGACGCGAGCGCGGGCGCGCGCGCGCGAATCCCGGCGCCGCGCTCGACCGCGCTCGCTTCTCCGACCTCGTGTGGACCCGCGCGCGTCGATCGCGGCGTCGCGGCGGCCGCCGCGACGCCCGATCGCGCGTCCGATCCTCGCGCGAGCGATTTCAAAAAAGTGCCCCTTCGCGCACAGCTGTGTCGTGGTCGTCGTCGTTTTTTCCATCCGCGACGCGGCGAGCGCGTCTTCGACCGTTCGTCCCCCGTCTTCCCCGTCCACCCATCTCACGCGCTGACGTCGCGTCCATCCCCCCGGCGCCGTCCTCTCGTTCGCGTCGCGTCTTCACAGGGAGATTTTCCTCGGGCAGCCGTGCCTGCTCGAGCTCGAGGCGCCGTTGAAGATCTGCGGGGACGTGCACGGGCAGTACAGCGACTTGCTCCGTCTGTTCGAGTACGGAGGGTTCCCTCCCGAGGCGAACTATCTGTTCCTCGGCGATTACGTCGACCGCGGGAAGCAAGGCCTGGAGGTGATCTGCCTTTTACTGGCGTACAAGGTGAAGTACCCGGAGAACTTTTTCCTGCTGCGAGGGAACCACGAGTGCAACTCGATCTCGCGGATCTACGGCTTCTACGACGAGTGCAAGCGAAGGTATAACATCAAGCTGTGGCGAGTGTTCTGCGACGTCTTCAACTGCCTCCCGTTCGCGGCGATCGTGGACGAGAAGATCTTCTGCATTCACGGCGGCCCGTCCCCGGAGCTGAAGGATCTGCAGCAGATCGTCCAGATCAAGCGACCGACGGACATTCCCGACATGGGAATGCTGTGCGACTTTTTGTGGTCCGATCCGGACGCGGATCTGCAAGGGTGGGGTGAGAACGACCGCGGGGTGTCGTACACGTACGGCACGGACGTCGTCGCGGACTTCCTCGCGAAGTTTGATTTCGATTTAGTCGTCCGCGCGCATCAAGTGGTGGAAAACGGGTACGAGTTTTTCGGCAAGAGGCAGCTCGTGACCGTGTTTAGCGCGCCAAACTACTGCGGCGAGTTCGACAACGCGGGCGCGATGATGACCGTAGACGAGAACTTGATGTGTTCGTTTCAGATTTTGAAACCCGCGGAGAGGAAGCTCATGGGAGGGTTTGGGAGCATGATGGGGTCGCGGCCGAGCACGCCGCCGCGGAACAAAGCCGGCGGGAAGTGATCGACGCGAACAAAAACGTCGAGAGCGAGAGCGCTTCGAAGGCGAGGCTGGCGGCGAGCGGTGCGGTGCGGGGATGGACGGCGCGGCGCTGCGCTCATCGATAGGATGAACGCGACGCGGGCGGGAGCGGCGGTGGTTCTCGAGAGGGATGAAACTGAGGAGGTTGGCGTATGTTGTGCTTTGGTGTAACAAAAAAATACCATACGAGCACGCACGGGTTTTCGAAAAAACAAGAAGGACGCAGTCCACAGGTCGTCGTCGCGTCGTCCGAGGAACGCGTCCGCGGCGCGCGCAGACTGACCGTCGTAGGTCGTAGTCGACCGCGACGCGCGTATCCGTTCCGGCCGCGCCGCTTTTTTCCCTCGTCCTCCTCGAGGGTTCCCCAGCCAGCTCCCCAGAAGCTCCCCGCGCGCGCGCCGTATGACGCGCGCGGACGCGGCGCTCGCGGGGGTGAACGTCGACGTCGGCCGCGCGGTGATCGCGTCGATCCCGCGCGAGAGCGTGCGCGCCGCCAAGGCGCTCATCGACGAAGCGATAGGGATCGTCGGGCGATACGCCGTGGCGCGTCGCGCCCTTCGGTCGTCGCGTCCGGTGCCGCGCTGTTTCTCGCCGTCCGCGCCCGCTCCTCTCCCTCGCGGCTCGTCCGCGTCGTCGCGCCGTCGTCGCCGTCGCTCCCACTCCCGCGCCTGACGCGCGCGCGCCCGCCGACCCCGGATCTCCGCGCAGCAATTCCCCGGGCGCGAGCGCCTGAACCGAGGCCTGCAGAGCCGCGGTCTTCACCTCCCAGGCGCGCGCGACCGACGACGACGACGACGACGACGAGCGACGAGCGACGACGAAACGCCGTCGTCTCGTTTTTTTTTTTCTTCGCTCCCCCCCACCCCTTGTCTTTTCGCCCCTCGCCGACCGCCCGCACCTCGCGTCGTCGCGCGCGCAGGTCAATCGGACCCGTGGAAGAAGACGATGAACGTCTTCAAGCGCGCGGGCGCGGTCGTCACGACCCCGAGCAGCGGGACCTACGTCATAGAGGAAATTGGCAACCTCGGCGGTCTGTGCGACCTCCTCGACGAGAGACTCGCGGGGGAGGAGGAGGAGGAGGAGGAGGAGGAAGTAGAAGAACCCGCGGGCGGGGCGGCGGCGACGGCGCGGTTCGACGTCGGCGCCGCGGGCGGGGAGATCGAGGAGGAGCTGGAGGAGGAGGAGGAGGAGGAGGAGGAGGAAGAGGAGGAGCTGGACGATGAAGAAAAGGCGGCGGCGGCGGCGACCGCGGGGGGCGCGAGGAAAGGCGCTCGCGGCGGGGGCGCGGGGACGAGGCGCGCCGCCGCCGCGGTCGCGAGCGGGAAGACGATCGCGACGACGCTGAAGAGAGAGCGAACGACCCCGGAAGATGAAGATGAAGGCGTAGGCGAAGGCGAGGAAGCCGAGGGCGAAGAAGAAGCGGAAGAAGAAGCGGAGGCGGAGGCGGAGGCGGAAGCCGCGAAGGACGAAGAAGCCGCCGCGGCCGCGGACCTCGCGTCGATATCCCGCCCTCAACCCCCCGCCACGCGCGAGATCCCCGTCGCGCCCGCGCCGCCGACCCAAATCGACCTGCGCCTGCCCCCGCGCGAGTACGAAGCCGCGCCGCCGACGGGCGCGGACGCCGCCGCGTCGGCGGCGGCGGCGCCGCCGCCGCGCGCGCAATCTGAAGCCGCGCGCCTCGCGGACTCCCTGCGCAAAGCGCGCCTCGTCATCGGCGGCGTGTACGCGTTTAACCCGCGCGAGGCGGCGCTGTGTAAGCTCGTCGGGTGGGACGACGTCAGGGAGTGCGTCATGCGGAGGATAACGCGCGCGGGGGTCGTCGTGTCGTGCGTCACGAGCGCCACGCCGCCCGGGACGTTTCGCGGGGAGTTCGTGGTCCCCGCGGAGACCGCGTTGCGGGTGCTCGGGACACGCCGACGCGACGAGGGAGGAGGTGCCGTCGGGGGTGCCGTCGGGGGTGCCGTAGAGGTGAGCGCCGGCGGCGTCGCCGCCGCGTTTCCTTCCGGGGGCGTCGCGCGTAAACGCGCCGCCGCGGAGGCGACGCCCGCGGGCGTCGGCCCGTCGAAGGGGCAGCTCGAACGGCGGAAGAAGGCGGCGACGGCGACGGAGCGCGTCGCCGCCTCCGCGATCGCCTCCGCGGGGGTCAAGCCGAGAGGCCGCGTCGGAAGACCTCCCGGGCCGACCGCGGCGAAGAGGCGGAAGAAAGCCGAGGCCGACGCGGCGGCGGCGGCGGCGGCGGCGGGCGCCGCGGGCGTCTCCGCCCGACCGCGCGTCGCCGTCACCGCGAAGAGCCTCCGCGACGCCGCCGCCGCGGGCGCGGCGGCCGCGCGCGCGTTCGCCCGCGAGGACCTCCTCGCCGCCGCGGGCGCGGGACCCGCGGGACCCGCGGGAGGAAGAGAGGCGCCCGTGAAGTCCGAGGACTCGGACGTCCTCTCCCGCGGCGCGGAGGTCTACGCCGGATTCCCGGCGACGCTCGCCGGCGTCGCCGTCGAGCTCGCGTCGTTCCGTCGGGAAGTCCGCGGCGAGATGGCCGCCGTGTGCGCGTCCGTGGAGCGCCTGACGTACGAGCTTCGTCTCTCGCGGCACGCGGACGACGCGGGAGGAGGAAGAGGAGGAGGAGGCTCGCTCGCGGCCGCGGCTGGGCGTATTCCGCCCATCGCGCCCGTCACGCCGACGGACGACGCCGCGGCGGCGCGCGCGAGCCTCCGCGCGGACGAGCGGTTGCTGTCGACGCTGCGCGCGGAGCGACGCGCGGAGCGCGCGACGTTATCGTCGGAGATCGCGCGGCTCAGGAGTTTCGTCGCCGAGGCCGCGAGGGGGGTCCCGGCGCCGGCGACGGCGACGACGCCGCCGGCGACGACGACGCCGCCGGCGACGCAAGCCGCCGCCGCCGCAGGCGAGGACGCGGAGGGCCCCGCCGCAAGGCGGGCGCTGCGCGACGCCGCGGGGGGAGGAGTCGCGAGCGTCGCGGACGAAGCCGCGGAGGCGACGGGGACGATGCGCGACGACGTCACACCCTGACGAAGCCGCGGAGGCGACGGGGACGATGCGCGACGACGTCACACCCTGAGGACGACGAATGAGAGGAGAAAGAGGAGACGGGGGAGGGGAGAGAGAGGACGTTCAGAGAGGACGGAAGGCGCACGACGATTGGAACGAACTGTCCGACAATTTTCATCGCGCACATCTCGCTCGCCGGGGTCAAATTGAAACCGCTTGGGGTCACGCTCGAAACCGCATCGCGATGAATAAAAAATCTTTTTTTCGCGCCCGATGACCTGTCGAGAGAGCCGCCAGGCGAGACGACGGCGATCTGCTTCGGTCGTCGCACATCGCACGGCGTCGCGCACCCCAGCGCGCGTCTCGAAGCGAACGCGCGGCCGCTCGTCGTCGCGTCCGCGGCTCGGCGCGTCCGCGCGTTTCCCTCCGCGCGCGCGCGCGCGTCGACGTCGAACGTCGCGGACGCGCGCGCGCTCCGCGCGAAGAATCGCGAGCGGGCGGCGCAGGAGATCCTGCTTGCACAGCTTGCTTGGACCGTCGCGCGCCATCGTCAATCATGGTGATGGCGTCCGCGCTCCTCGCGGACGCGAAGCTGGACCCGTCCACGCCCATCCCCGGGCACGGCGACTCCGACGCGAACTCCTCGCGCCGCAGAAGCGGCCGCCTGCGGACGATCCACGCGAAGCAGGCGGAGCTCAAGGCGAAGCAGATCGCGTTTCGGTGCCACGCGGCGCCGCACGCGGAGGTGCGCGTCGTCGCCTTGGGATGGGCCAGGGAGGATCCATCTGACGCCGCCGCCGCCGACGAGACGACGAAGCCGCCGAGCGCGGCGACGCCCGGCGACGACGCGTCCGCGGCGCCGTCGACGCCGAAGAAGGAGGACGACGACGAGACGCCGCCGCCCGCCGTCCTCGTCCCGCTCGGGTACAGGGCCGAGGGCGTCCTGTTCAACGAGCCCCTGCGCGCGTGGATCGATCGCGGCGGCAATCACTTCGTGTCGTGGGGCGCCGCCGGCGACGGCCGCGCCGCGGTCTCCACGCCTCCCGGGGGCGCGTCGTCCACGAAGGAGGCCGTGCGCTGCATCGTGGATGAGCTCAAGCGCAGGGTGGACCACGGCGTGTGCGCGGTGCTGCCGCCGCTGCCGCCGCCGGTCGCGCCGATCGCGCCGCGCCGCCACGCCGGCGACGGATCGTCGATCGGCGGAGGCGCGCGCGCGAAGAACAATCGCGCGTGTGGCAACTGCGGCACGACGTCGCACGCGACGCCGCTGATGCGACGCGGCCCGAACGGCGTCAGGTCGCTGTGCAACGCGTGCGGGCTCTGGTTCGCGCGCAGGGGGACGATGCGCCCGGTCGAGGGCGCGCCCGCGGCGCCGGAGAGGCCCGAGATCGCGGCAGCCGCGCAGGACGAGGAAGGCGCGATCGTGGCTCGAAAGGACGCGCGCGACCGCGCGAATTCGGACGATCAAAAATCCGCCGCGGCTAACGCGGGCGGGGTCTTCGACGCGTCGCCCCCGCAGCCGGCCACCAGCGGCGGGTCGCTGCCCCCCGCGCCGGCGTCGCCGTCGAGGACGACCGACCCCGCGGCGCCGCCCGCGTCGGAGAGCTCCGGCGGCGACGGCGCGACGGTCAAGTCCGAGGGCACCGTCGCCGCCGCCGCCGCCGCCGCGGCGACGCCTCTCGCCGTCGACGCGCAGCTCGCGGCGGCCATGAAGGCGGAGAACGACGCGTACGTCGCCGCGATGGCGAAGCACGCCGTCGCGCTCGCGGCGCACGAAAAGTCGGAGAAGGAGCGCGCGTTGGCCTACGTCGCGTCGGCGTTGCACGCGATGTCCGCGGAGACGACGACGGGGGACGGCGTCTTCGGCTACGCGGACGCGCCGGTGCAGCAGGCGCTGCTCGCGCTGAAAGCCGCGCGGGAAGACGCGGACGAGGAGACGATCGAGAAGGCGGAGAAGGCGATCGCGGCCGCGACGGCCGCGACGGAAGCGCTGAGGAAGACGGCTGCGGCGTGGGATAACGTCGGCGCCGCGAGCTCGCCCCCGGGCGCGGGCGGAGGGACGAAATCCGTCGCGCGCAATCCCACCGGACGCAACGGTCGCGGCGGCGGCAGAGGCGCCAAGCGAGAGCACCCTTCTGGCGGCAGAGGCGGACGCGGGTCGGCGGGAGGGTCATCGCACGCGATCAAGCGCCATCAGCCGGACGCGGCGTTCCAGGCGCGGCTCGCGCTCGCCAAGCGCAACGCGGGCGCGCAGTTGCGGCAAAACAGCAGCAGCAACCTCGTCGGGATGGGTCACGCGTACGCCGATCACGGCGGGGCCCGCGCGGGCGTCGGCGCGGTCGCCGGGACGATGCCGTACCAGCCGATGTACGCGTTCGGCGTCGCGCCTCCGGTCGGAATGCGAAGCTCCGCGCACGGGCGCTCGTCCCCCGCGCCGATGGTCAACGGATGGGGCGACGACGCGGGACCGGACGCGGCGGATGCGTTTAAAGACGAGAGCCTCGGCGTCGTGGGCGGCGGGATGATCTCGTTCGACGCGGATCTGTCCGTGTCCGGACAACCCCAGGGCGGGTTCGGCGACGCGCTCGCGGATCCGTTCGGTGGCGCGGGGGACGTCTTCGGCGGCGCGGACGACGGGTTGGGGTTGCTGCTGGACGCGCCCGGCGGCGCCGGATTCGTGATGGAGGGCGGGCTCTTGTGATGGATCGATCGAAGTCCTCAAGGAACGGCGTTCACAACGCGAACGGGCTCGTATGGGAACCAGTCTGGATCGATCGAACGATCGGTCGATCGATCGAACGATCGGTCGATCGATCGATCGCAGACGGACCCGCGGTTGGATCCTTCCTTCGGATCGAAGGGAGGACGGGGAAGCGGCGGGAGGCATACGAACGCGGAAACGACACGACGACGACGACGACGACGACGACGACGACGACGACGTAGGTGGATGTGCATACGACATATAACGCGCGAACGACACGACGGGACGGGACGCTTCTACTTCTCTTCATAATTTTTTTTATGCGAACTGAATTGACACGAAACGCCCTGCGTTGTCACCACACGCCCGGGTCTTTCACGAACCCGCGCGCGTTCTTCCCTGCCCCCGCGTCGATCAACGCGTGCGACTTCTCCCCCGGACAAAACTCCCCGCTCGGCTTCCTCCACCACCCCACAGCCTTCTCCTCGATCCACTTCGCGGCGCCGATGGCGGCGCTCTCGCCCTGCGGGGTGAAGCGATCGGTCAGTCGAACGTCTTACCGGTCAAACGTTGAAAGGGAAGCGCGGGTGAAGAGTGACGACGGGAAAAGTCCTTAAGAAACGGCGTTCACATCGCGAACGGGGTCGTACGGGGAGCAGTCTCGCACCGCGTCCGTGAACGGCGCGCATCGAATCGTGAGCATCCCGTGCCTGTTCCCGTACACGACGTCCGTCATGTACCGATCCCCGATCATGACCATCTGCGACGGTTCGCACGCGAACCGTCGCACGAGCGCGTCGCAGCTCCCCCCCGGTTTCTTGGACGAATGCCGAAGGAACCCGACGCCGAGCGCGTCCTCGAGCGCGTCGGCGACGGCGCCCGTGGGATCGAACTGCGGGTCGTTCCGTACGATGGAAGCGAACGTCGGGGTGGATTTCAGGGGTGCGTCAGTTGACGTTGAAAGGCATCGAGGTGTGTCGGGATTGTGAGCGAGGGATGATGGGCGGAGAGAGACGACGGGAAAAGTCCTTAAGGATCGGCGTCCACCACGCGAACGCGGTCGTACGGGGACCAGTGTGAATCAGAACGCGCCTGCGTCAGCCCCGCGCTGTTGCTCAGCACCGCCACGTTCGCCGCGCCGAACGCGCGCTTGCACTCCCTCAGCGCGCTCGCGAGCGGCGGGTGTATCCGGCGCTCGTACGGGATCGTCAGCGTGTTGTCCTTGTCGAAGACGATCGCGCGGAACCCCGCGGCGTGGAGCGCGTCCCAGTCGATCCATCTCAGGGTCGTTCCATACAAAGCGACGTCGGGGTGGAGTTCATAGGCGTCAGAAGCGGAGTTGAAAGGCGTCGAGGTCGGGGATTGAAAGCGAGGGGTGGGCTCAGAGAAACGCCGGGCAAAGTCCTTAAGGAATGACGTTCACCACGCGAACGGGGTCGTATGGGAACCAGTGTATAGAACGCACCTCACGTCCGGGACCTCGAGGTGCGGCATCGCGAGGTCGCGCTTCGCGCCGAGCGCCATGGATGCGAACAGGGACACGCCCGCGGCGTTGACGTTCTGCATCGCCGCGCCGTAGGACGACGTCGACGGCGCGGGCGGGTCTTCGGGCGTCGTCGTCGTCATGGACA